CAATCATCATAAAAAACAAACAAACAAACAAACAAAAAGGAGAGAAGGGAGAACTAGAAAGATATGAAAAGATGCCTTTGTGTCATTAAGCCAGAAAAGTAGTCTGCAGAATGTGTTGGTGCAGTGTGATCCTATTTACAGTTTTAAAGATGAAACAGCAATGCCTAGCACATAGTGGAAACTCATAATTTCTTAAAAGAATACATGAGCATATGGTAGGAAGTATCACTTTTCCCATTGTTTTACTTCTCATAATGGGCACATAATTTTTGAGAATAATTTGACTTTAAAAAATATGTTTAAAATCTATGTATCACCTTGATTCTTTTTCTCCAAGCTGATCAATAATAATTCTTGGCTGGGGATGTAGCTCAGTGGCACTGAGCTTGCCTCGCAAGCACAAGGTCCTGAGTTCGATCCCAGGTTCTGAAAAAAAATTCTTATGCTGGCCCAGTCTAAGCAGCAAATGTTCAATGCTGATCTCTCGTAAGTACTTCTGGTGGCCATGTGCTACAAGGGCCAGGAGAACCAGATGGCATAAATTTCTAAACTGGCTTTCTCCTTAGGAATCTTCTGATTTGCAAACTACTGGCCCCAAACTTTCACAGCCCATGAGTGATACCAGAGTAAGGCCGGCAGTCAGGGCTTTTGATTCAGGCCCTTCCACCCACACCTCCGCTGTGACCCTGCTGACAAGGGTGGGTGCTCCGGTAGGAAGCTGAGCCTCTGAAATTGAGCCTGTGTGACCTTAGGCATACACCTATACCTTGTACAGCCCTGTGCGTTCATCTGTAAAGTGGGGTAAACTACTGATACAGTGTGGGGACTAAAGAAAATGATAGATAAAATACAACTTATTTGGGGGGCTGGGGATGTAGTCAGTGGTAGAGCAAGTGTTGAGCATGTGTAAGGCCTTGGGTTCCATGCCTAGTTCCCCCCACAAATGTACTTAGTTGGTTCACACTGTGCTGTGTACCTTGGCAAGGGTGAAACTCAAATGTCAGCCTCAGGAGGTGGGAGCTGGTACTAATGTTCGTATCATTAGGATTGTGTAGTGGAAATGTTACATTCTATCACTTGGCTAGTGTCAGGACAGAAGTGTAGTCTAAGGTTGTTTACCCAACCCTCTTTGAACCTCCCCATAGTATTAATTAGCATATTTAACTAATAATTTTTTCCTTTTTGGTTTTTTGAGGCAGGGTCTCGCTGTGTAGTTGAGGCCAGCCTTGAACTCACTATGTAGCACAGGCTGGCCTTGAACTCATGGCAATCCGCCTGTCTCAGCCTCCATAGTGCTGGGATTACAGGGATGTGCCCCGATGCCTGGTTTACAAATAATTATTGAATGCCACTCACACCAGGTGCTGTGCTGAAAGCTCACCAACAGGTATGAGGTATGCTGAAATAGTGATCCCTCAGCTTCTCAGGGCAGTGGGTGTGTCCTGGGGAGGACAGAGGCCCAGTCCCACTGCCTTCCACTCCACCCTGACCACTTTGGCTTTCTGGTCCCTGCTGCACCCGACTACTCCAAGGCTGGCACAGAGGATCATGTCTGCCCTAGAAGCACAGAGGCATGGCCCACACCCTTTACTCTGTGGACACATGCATCTCTACTCCACCACTCACATATCCACCAGACCCTGATTTTTAAAATTATCTGAAGCCATTTATAGCTTCCTCTCTCCCTTTCCTGAACACTGCCACTTGCCATCCCAGCCCGAATAATTCCATTGGCAAGGAAAGCAGGAAGGCTGGCCCGGGCAACGTCAGGAGGGTTGGAGGCAATGTTGTGTGGTCATAGAGGTTCCCTCCTGCTATCAGTTTGACAATGGGGACTTAGTATGTCACATGATATGTGCGGTGCACTTCTGAGACCTGGGTTCAAGTCCTATCCTGGTTAGAGTCCAAGTAACCTTGGTTAAACTGTCTCCTGACTTCTGTGGAAACCCAAGTGGGAAGGAAGCTTCAGTTTGGAGACCCAGGTGGGCACATCAGGGTAAGTGACCATTGGAGTGGGTGGCTATAAAGGGGCTTTAGTGTTCACCATAGGCGGAGCCTCTGAGGTCTACCGCTTACCAGTTGTGTGCCCTTTGACAAGTGACTTAACCTCTTTAAGCCTTGATTTTCTTTTTTTTTTTTTTTTTTGGTAGCGGGGATCGGACTCTGGTCCTTGCGCTTGTGCAGCAGGCACCAAAACCACTGAGCTAAATCCCCGGCCCAAGCCTTGATTTTCTTATCTGTAAAATGAGACCAATTGCATCAACCTAATTATACAACTGTAAACAAAAATGTTCATCTGTGCTCTGAAGTGATACCTTTTGGAATTATTTCATGATTTCCCTGAGGGCTTCATAGAAGCATCAAGTCTGCAGGTTTTCCAACTACTGGTTCCCATCAGAACCTCAACTCATCCTCCATGACCTTGGTCTGTAGATGAAGGAACACTGTCCCTCCACCATGCCAGATGAGGGAAGCCAGTCAGGAATGTGCCTGCGTCTCTTCATGGACAGGGAAGGGGACTGGGCCTAAGGGAGTCGGTGGGAGAGGAAGAGAAGAGGGAGGGTTCCAGGACTTGCAACAGTTAAATGTTAATATAGGTGTCTGCGAAGGAAGTTCTAATGACAGCAGGAACGGAGGAGTTTTCCATCATCTCCTGCTTAACACATACAGCTGTATTCATAATTACCCCTTGCCTCGGGCCTGGAGGCCCAGGTGGGCTCCAGAAGGCCTGTGCCACTGCCAGACTGAAAGTCCTTAAAGAACATCATGTAGACAATTGGAATGCCATTTATCGTTCAAAACACAATAAAACCCTGAGCTCTCTTCCTGTCTTAGAGACCCATAAATTATGAAAATTATACCTGCCCCGGGCTATGGACATATTGTTTTATTAAAGTTCCGATGAATAAACTTAAGGCTCTTAAAATTGTCCTCTTGACTTTCATCTAGCACACACCTCCAGCACGGAGCCGGCTGCCTGGGTTCTACAGATTTGTACAAGGCTCCTCTGGAAAGCTGCAGGTTCCTGGGGCAGGAGAGGCTGGCTGGAGTAAATGGAGACCTCCTGCCCAGATGACATGGCTGCAGGGGCTGGGGCAGACGGAGAGGGTCCTAGTTGTCACCAGAGCTACCCTCCACCAAGACCATTCCCTCTTCTCCGAACGTGTAGGGGGTGTGTGGTTATAGACTTGAAAAGGGTTGAATTGTGCTTTACATCGGGTCACTGGGAAGCCTTCTAGCTACTCCATCCTGTACTTTCTCCTTTCTCCCTATTCAAGTTGCTAACTCCTTCAGCTGTTTTTACATTTCACCCCGCAAGCCAGGCATGGTAATGCATGTCTATAGTCCCAGGCCTCTAGGAGGCTGAGGCAGGAAGACTTCAAGTTCAAACCAAGACTGGGCAATTTAGCAAGACCTGCCCCAAAATACAAAATAAAAAGGGCTGGGAATGTAGCTCAGTGTGAAAGCCCCGGGTGCAACCCCCAATACCACAAAAAGCAGATACTCCATCCCTTAATCACACTTTGGGAGTACACATTACTTCAACCCCCATTTTACTTCAACCCCCATTTTAGTCTCTAAGAAAAGTTCGGTGCCAGGCAAGAAACTGTTCAACAAATGCTAACCTTTACTGTCACCCCAAAGCTATTTCATACTGGGAACTAAGAGGAACTGGGCCAAGTGGGTAAAGATGAGAGAAACACTCATGGAAGTTCTTCTGTGGATACTGCTTAACTCATTTTTCCAGGAGCATTTGGATGGATGGGACTTAGAGCACCTAATGCCCTGTGGAGGAGGTGGTTTTTAATCCCAAACCCCAACAACAATTAGACAAACCATGGGAGGGCCCACTGTGTGCCCCACCCACAAGGAGACCCAAGACAGAATCGAAGTGTGCCAGACCTTAACTGAGACTGAGCTGATTAACTGGAGACAATTATCTCCAAGTGTTGCTTACTTACCTTGTTGGTGAAGACAGACTGAGCACTGAACTATGGGGATGGGGCAGGCCACATGGTCGGGTGACAGAGGGAGGCCTAAAACTATCTTCATCCCAGATACTCTACTGCAGAGAAGACCACACTGAAGAACATCCTTTGTGTCTTCCACGGCAGTGACCAGGGGCTCCTAGGCTTGCATTTGGATGTCACCAAGATGCCATAAGGCCACACTTAGTGACCAAGAACTGGACTTGAGCATTCTGATCTCTCCCGCCACACCTTCCCCCATATATTGGTAACTCTTTAATTATTTTTTTTTGGGGGAAACAAGAGGCATAGTTACAATCTCACTATGATTGGTACATGAATTAAAGGTAATTTGAGAAGAGGCTGGAGCTCCTGAGTGATGGTGTTGATGAGGGGGAAAAGGAACCAAATGGAAGGTCCAGGAGGGCAACAACAAGTTCGCACATGTATGGATGGCTTAAGAGGGCAAAGGACTGGTTTGGGGCACTATCTATCCATCCTGTTGAATTAAGGAAATCACCAAAGGCTTTTGCTTGGCTTGTGGGGTACTAGGGCCAACATGGGGAGAGCTGTGGAATTTTCAGAAAATGGACAGGCTTGATCACTCTTCCCAGCTTTCCTGTTGTTACCAAAACATCCAGTGTACAGGACAGCTGGCCCAGGAAATAGGGCTTTGCAGCATCTGGCAGGACTCAATCTGTGATCCTAGCTACTTGGAGGGTGAGACAGGAAGATTGCAAGTTTGAGGCTAGCCTGGGCAACTTAGCAAGACCCTGTCTCATAATTTAAAAAAATAATAAGATAAAAAGGCTGGGAATGCACCTCCCCGAGTGCCAAAGCGGTCCTCCAGTGCCCCTCTCCTAGAGGGAGGGCAGGGTCTGCCCCAGCTCAGAGGCCTGGCCCGCTCCTGTCCTGCGGTGCTGTTCGCAGCTGGTGGGCTGGCCTAGTGCTTGCGGACAAATTCGAGGCCCTGCTGGGTGCGGATGTCAAGAAACTGAACAAACACACGAGAAAACAGCAGTCTTGTGTGTATTTAACAATATATATTTATAGATATTTTTCTAGATCAGTACATTCAGTTTTTAACTTTTTTTCTTCACAAACAGAAGAACTCTTACAATAGTAGACTTTCTAAAATAAATACTATTAAAATAGAGCTTCAAAATAAATATTCTATACAAAGGAAACCTTCTGTGGTAACGCTTGTGGTGGGGTGAAAAGGGGCTGTGGTGAAGGGGGGAAGTGAAATAAGAATGTAGCGGAGGAGCCGGGACCACCTTTACTGTTTGTAACACAAAACCCAACTGTGGGACAGAAAGAGGAGAAAGCAAAGTAAGACGCCGCACAGTTACCTAGAGCAAAAATGGCAACACCAGAGCTGATATCCGGTCACAAATAAGCCCAAGGGCACAAAGGCTTATCAAAGGCATGACCCAGAGGCTGGCGAAGCGTGTGAATGCCCTAGCAAGTGTAGTGTGAAGCTGTGCTGCCCACACCCACTGGATACTTCCTGGGACGGCACTGGAGAACTCGATGCTTTGAGTGACAGTCACCTGGGTTCCAGCCCAGGCCGACATTTCTCATGCGTGCAACCTCAGGCAAGTCACCGCCTAGCTGGACACTCTTCAGTACAACAGGGATCAATGGAGACCCCACATGTTTAAAGAACCCTGCATCACATGAGTGCCTTTGCCTGGTGCCAACAGAAGGCGCTGTCTTCACTCTTCCAGGCGGCTGCTGAGGACTCTTGAGTTGCACCCGTCATTTGTCCAGGAAGACTCTACAGGCCACTCTTCTAGGCCCAGTTCCCAGGGCACCCACTGAGTGCTGGCCTTCTCTGGCCCCTCTCAGGGAGGGGAAACAGCCAGCCAAGGCACCCTTGGAAGAGTGTCCTGGATCCCAGTTGCAGGGAAAACTGCTGTGCACCCAGGTCCAAGACAAGTGGGAACTGCTGGCACTTCCCCAGTTAAGGTTTCACCCAGCCAAGCGAGCTTCTAGTGACAGGAAACGAGCCAGAAGCAGCTATAGAAAGATGCCATGTTTCTGCGTGCTTGTTCCCTCAGTGTCCCTTGGCTGGCCTGGAAGGGGTGGTGGGCCCATAGGCAAGCCATGTTTACTTTCCTTTTTTGGCCAAGGAGCCAGAGAAAAACCACCAAGGGACTGTTACAGAGCCAGGAGGACCAAGGACACTCTGCTTCACTCTTCTCCTTTCCTGCTGAGCACATGCGGCACCAAGGTGAATGAACTCAAGAGAGAGTTCTGCAGACATCCATTTAGCAGGTTAAATGCAAGCCAAAAGGAGGGGGAAAGAAAAATAGCAAACCAAAACCCACAAAAAAAATCTGTGTTTACAACTATATACACAAAGTCAGGGTTCAGAAGGCCATTTGCCAGCAAGCAGGGTCTCTGTTGGTCGAGGGTCTGGGTGTATGTATGCGTGTACATGTCTATACACAGCTTATGCAAATCAAATCTCCACAGAACGGGTGTGTAGACCAGGATCACCAAAGCACAACTTGTAACCAGGTCAAATTTCCTGTGGAGATGATCTGAGGGAGGGGCCCTGGGAAGAGTCCCGAGGCCTTGAAGAAAGAGTGCGTGTATGCACTATCATTTAGGGGACACCTCTGCACACCACTTTTGAGAAAAACATTTCCAGCCCCTTGAGTACACTTCTGATACATTCAATTAGTGTAAGTGGTTGGCTGAACGTGTTCATTTTCTACCATCCCCTCCAAATTGTGCAAGAACATCCATACATCTGTCACAACTATGGCAAGGGTAGCTATATGAGTCAGCCATAGAGAAGGAAGATGCAATTCTTTATACTCGCCTTTTACAAGCCAGCAAATGTTACATAAATAAAGCTGAAAATAAGACACTCCCTTCATCCAATCATTAAACACCTATGGTTACAATTAACTTATTCTAAATCATAAGATGTTACCATTAGTTTCCAAGGGGAGGGGGCCTTGGAAGCATCAGGTATACAGGCCACTCTCAGCTACCTACCTCCTTGTCTCTCTGCAGGCAGCTGTTTCCACAGAATGAGCTGGAAATGCTATACTCTGCCTAATGCGCTTCCAATGTCACCTGGGGCCTTTCTTCTGGCCCAGGCTACTTCCTCTCATGGAGGGAGAAGGGGACAAAATACCACACAAAGCAAAAACCCCAAACGGCTGGGGTGAGGGGAGGACCAGACACACTACAGCTTTTGCATGCAACAAGTACCTACCCACTGGACGTGCTGCACTTTCTGAGTCCTTTAGCACCTTGAGAAAGAGTTGCTACGTCTTTGGGGGCTGTCGAGAGAGGGTTGTGCTATGCACAAAAGCAGGGCTCAGTCACAGTGGCCCCTGGGGAATCCTCCCCACCCTCTTGAGCTCTTCTCACTCCCCCCTGGGGCTTCCTAACACTAAAATAAGACTCTCTTTTCACCATCTATTTACATACAGATACAGATGTATCGAATCGCTATACACAAAAGGCTATGACAGCAAGCAGCAGAATCAGAAGAGAGGAAACCCAAACCCAGCGCAGCTCAACTGTCATTCTGCCAACGGGAGGTGCTGCCTCTTCTTCGCTGATAAAATCCTCTTCTTGGTGGGCAGGGGAATTGTGCTCCTTGAGGTTGCTTGCCCCCAGATTTTGAAATCAGCCCTTCCTGGGGGTGGCCCAAAAGGAAGCAATAATAATTGTTCTTTAAAACACCGTGAGCATCTGTTTTAATTATTCTATAAAAACATCACGACTGGATCAAGAGACTACAGCCTCGGGCTCATTGGCAAAATGATATTTGGTCTCGAATTTTCTGCCCCGGCCTTCTCTACCCATCAAGTTTCTGGAAAGGATCTGAGCAGAGTGAAAACTCAGGACATAGCAGGCAGGCGAGTCTGTGACTCATAAGAACTGGAACAGAGGACGGTTTAAGATGAGTGGTACACCCCCAAGAGTTACTGACAAGGTTGGGAGAGAGGAATGCATTGCGCAGTGACTCCTAAACCATCTCGTGCTCTGGGGAGGCTTCGGCTCCTTGGCTGTCCTCTGTTCTCAGCACTCAAAGTATATACAGTCGAGATCGCTAGTGTTCTCCACCTTCCCCAAGATCCCTGGGCAGTCAGGACTTGAAGGTCTTCTCCCAACTACCCTGGTTCAGTTAACAATTCCTCCCAGGCAGCCAGCTCCCAAGAGAGCCAGAGACAATGGCCAAGCAGGAGGGAGAGAGAGGAGGGACGAGGCAGGGCATCGAGCAGCTGCAGTTTCCAGATACGTGTCCACGTCTGTTATGTCTTCTGAAAAATCCCCCCCCAACTGTACCCTGCCCATCTGCTTGACAAAAGTTCCAAACCCCTAAATATCCCCCAAAGTGTTTCTTCCTCCTTTTGGAGTAATAGAGAGTGGGTGGTGGCGGTCTCTGCCTGTTTCTTCCCAAGCTACAGGCAGGGAGATGACAGATGAGCAAGGTTAGCCTCAGGAGGCTGGCAGGAGGAACCCTTGTTTCCAGGGGTAGCGCTTGGGGTTCAACCTAAAGTGTCAGAAAGGCTTGTCGGGTCTGCTGGCCTTGGTGTCCCCACTGGTTGCCTTGCAGATGACACTGTTCGTGTGCTTGCAGCGGCAACCAGGACGGCGCAGGCGGTCGTAGCCACGCTGGGCCAGCTTCACGCAGCCGGTGGCAGGCAGGTAGCAGAGCAGGCAGGGCAGCACCATGGAGAGGGCGCCCATGAAGGACCAGCGGGCGCAGCAGTTGGAACGGGAGCAGGAACAGGGATGGTCAGCACAGGAGCCCTCATCGTCCTCGTTGGTGCAGTGGTAGAAGATGCCCTGCACCAGGCACATGCATGTGCCATAGTTGACCAGGGTCTGGGCCGAGCACAGGCACTCCTGGTTGCAGACCCAGCAGGAAGGCAACGTCCGGGGGGACGCACACTCCTTACATTTGCATTTCCCACAGGCCTCGCACAGCAAGAAGTGCTTGTCTAGCTCTGGTGGGGCCGCTGGGCCCTTGAGGTCCAGTGGCTTACAGTGGACCAGCTTAGGCTGGAGGCGCACAGCCCTGGGCGAGGACTGCTCAGCCACAGGCGGTGGGGCCATGTGGTCCAGGAGCCGCTGGTCAGAGGAGGTGCTGCTGCTGCTGCTCACAGAGCTGGGGCGGCCGCTGAAGGAGATCCAGTGGTGGGTGACATCCTGGTCACAGCGGGCGGGAGTCAGGGCCAGCTCTGGAGCCCCACCCCGGGTCCGCTTTGGGCCAGTGGGGGGAGCTAGGCCGGGGTTGTCTATATAGTCGTTCTCCACGTGGCTGGTCTTCATCTGGTCAATGGGCAGGATGGTGAGAGGGTGCTGGAGCCGGCTGTGGGGCATCCGGCCGTCCAGAAGGGGCTGCACCATGACTGAGCTGGGAGTCAAAGGGACGCTCTGTGCAATCGGGGGCTCCATGGGGCTGGAGGTCCTGGACTGCGCCGAGAAACAGGCTTCTAGGGATCCTGGGGGAGGATAGGGAAAAGGAAGAGAATGGATTGCAGGCATCAGTGTGCAGCCTGTTAACACCCCTGTCCACCATGTCCCGGCAGGTCCTGGGGAGCCCAAATGAAATAGGACCAAATTTCCACAGTGGACTCTGCAGCAATTTCTAAGGCTTAGATGATTAACGATGATAATGGCAATAACAGTGACAGAAATAAACTTATTGAGCTATGGGGTATAGTTCAGTGGCAGCCTAGTATGTATGAGGTTCTGGGTTTGATTTCCAGTGCCACAAAAAAAGGAGAAATAACAAGGCACTTTTCAGAGTACCTTATATACTAAAGACATTGATCTTCACAATAACCCTAATAAAGTATCTACTATATCACATTTTTGGGCCAGGGCTCAAATCTGGCAGTCTAAATTTACTCTCTTGGTCACTATGAAACATGCTCCTTAAGATATATAGCTCAATGGTTAGAAACACAGGACTTGGGATCAGATATGAGTTTGAATTCTCACTTTGGCCTAGGAACGTTGCTGTGAAAGAGTTCTTCAACTTCTATGCCTCATACCTTAGTTTTGTTTTGGTTTTTTTTGTGTGTGTGGAACCGGGGATTGAACTCAGGATCTTGAGCTTGCAAGGCAGGCGTGGTGCCACTGAGCTAAATCCCTGGCCCTCCTTAGTTTTGTTTAACTTTCTCATTTCTGTTTTTGAGACAAGGTTTTGATAGTAGTTTAGGGTGGTCTTGAACTTGTGTTGATCCCCCTGCCTCAGCCTCCTGAGTGCTTGGATTATGAGCAAGTGCCATCATGCCAGGCAGGTCTTAGTTTTATCATCTTTAAAGTGGGTTCTTGCAAGAATTAAATGAGAAAATACCTATTCAGTATCTAGCACATTACTGGGCATATAGCAAGTACTCAACAATTTATCACTACCCTAGAATGTAAGTTTAGATTTCCTGAGCATTCTCGACCACCCGTGTACCGAGCATTGTGCTAGACCCTGAGGACAGGGTGGTGAACACTACAGCCCCTATGTGCTCCCACAGAGTTTATTAGCTGGATAAACAAAAGCCTTTATTTTAGCTATTCACAAGAGAAGGAAGGGCTGTATCTGGATATTATCCAGGATATTAACTTATTGCTACCACTTCTCTGTGCTGCAACCTCCACTGGCTAATAATTCCCGAGGAAGTGAGCTTCTGACACCTTGGATGGGAAACCTTCTCCAGGGGCACTCACATCACCCATTTCTCCAAGTGCTGAGCTGAACATTCAGCCTAAATGCTATTTACTAGAATAGCTAAGCCAACCCTGGATCAGTTTCTAATTTCACTGAGAACGAGCAATTTTAAGTTGGCATTCGGCCAGAGATTCAACTGCAGTGCCTGACACGGAACCCCAGGAAGTCACTTAAATCAAAGAGCGGAAACAGCTTGGTTCAAATTTAGAAAGTGCACATTGTTTTCTACTAGAAGTGCCATTTCCTTGCCTGCTGACCTTTACATTTGGAATTCGGTTTTTGGTTTTTTTTTGGTACTGGGGATCGAACTCAGGACCTTGCGCTTTCGAGGCAGGTGCCGGAACCACTGAGCTAAATTCCCGGCCCACATTTGGAATTCAGATGGAGATCAATTTAAAGGAGTAGCAGCAGAAGGCCAAGACCTCTGCTCAAGGGGACCCCGTTTAGAATCCACAGCGGCAGAGATTAGACTGGGAAGATTCCACCCCAAACCTAAAGAAATCCAGGGGATTGGTGGAAGGAGGGGTGCAGAAGAGGAAGCCGCCAGGGACCACCCCCCCAGTAGATCAGTGTTACAAATGGTGTTTCTCAAAAGTACTTTTTAAGATGCTAATGACATTGCAATTAGGAAAGCTGACCCCGTCCATCAGCTGTTAGGCTCATCGGCTCATCGTGCCCCAAAGGTGCTCCCCAAGGAGTGTGGGTGAGTTTCCACTTCCAGTTTACCCCATAGGCCTCTGGACACCTTGGTCTATCTCCAGCTTCCAATCTCAGGAGAATGACAGCTGGGGCGCTGGCATGCATTCATACTCAGGCTCTGTATAGTAAGGAGGGGGCAGGGCAAGGAGGCATTCAAAGTAACTCAGTATTATATTTCCCCTGCTTGGAGACAATAGTTTGATCAGAAGTAGCTAAAACCGTCAGGGAAGGGCTTCCTTGGATACCTGTAGCCTGTTCAAAGGGCTAGCTCTAGGTAAAAAGTTCATGAAGAGGCTAAAAAGGGGCTATCCACAAATCTCTGGTCTGTGTATCATCTATACTCCTAAACACAAAAAAAAGCATCAAGACCTTCCTACAAGCTTCAGGGCTCAGTCAACTGATAGTTCCCACTCCCACAGGGCACTCACTATATTGGCTCTGCTCCCACAGCTCGGCTCAGTTAAAAGATACTGACACTTCTTTACACACTTTGTTTTTCCTGTCGTGGGTCCAGTCTACCTAGTGGCAATGCCTGCCTCAAACTTCTCTTCAGATGAAATCAGAGCATCACCTTCCAGTGGGAGAATCCCTTGAGGAGAGTTTGCCTTATGTGTCTGACAAGTCTGCCGGGAAAGAGCACTCATTTGGCAAAAGCAGCCTCCTGTGGTTGTAGCTGGACAGAGGGAATGCAAGGAAGGGTCTATGAAGAAGTGTTTTTCCAGGGAATGCTACGTCGGTCTGTCCATTTATTCTCAGTAAGGTTAAAAGGTCTTGCTTCTAGAATAAATGAGCTTGAGGTCAACAGATCAGGGTTAGGAGTTCAAGTTCCCAGCCCTGGAGACTCTGGGTAGAGAAAAAGGTGGGAGTTGGCATACCAGCCAAGATGTGCCTCCACCAGAACCCTAACTTCAGATCAGACAAAGACAACTCCACTTCCTTATTCCAGAAGCCCAGGTTGCTAACAAATTCAGTGGCAGTTGGGCCAGGGATTTAGCTCAGTGGTTCCAGTGCCTGCCTCGAAAGTGCAAGGACAGGAGTTCGATCCTGGTACCAAATAAAAAACATATACCTTCCAAGGGGCTGGGGATTTAGCTCAGTGGTTCTGCCTCCTGCCTAACAAGTGCAAGGTCCTGAGTTCGATCCCCAGTGCCAACAACAACAACAACAACAACAACAAACAAGCAAAAAAAGTCAGTGGCAGTTTTAAGGCTATAATGCTCCATGTAAGAGGCTGGGCGTGGTGGCACACAACTGTGTAGTCCCAGCACTCAGGAGGCAAAGGCAGGAGGATCACTGTGAGTTAAGAGGCCAGCCTGAACTAAAGTGAAACCCTGTCTGAAAAAACCAAGAAAAAAGAAAATGCTCCATGTAGCTGAAGATTTGTCTCAGGACCAGGATTGGAATTGGCTGTGCTCTGGGGAAAAAGTGAAAGATACTCCCCTCCTCCCAAGCAGATGATCTGCTTTTCCAATTCAATTATTGTGACTCTTCAATATTAGCTGCACTTCCTGAAGATGAAGCAAACGGCACGGGCAATACTCAGGCCCTGGCTTGGGTGGGCATACGCCCCAATTCGGAGAAAAAAATCCTAACAAGAAGCCAGTGGGAGCAGCCACTGCAGGCAGTGGGTACACTGGCATCAGCAGGCTCCCATCACTCTCCAGCAGGCACATTCTAAAATGTACCTTCCCTATCATAACCCTGCTGTAAGGTCTCCTCCGGCCACCAGCTCAGCAAAACCCAATGGCTAGCTCGGTGTCCCACTGCTCAAACTGCCTTAGGTCTGGGGACTCACCTGCCCGTTAGCAGGGACCCACCACAGGAAGGCCCTCTAAAAGCCCCAGCTGAATTAATTTGGCTAATAAAGAAAAACAACTTTCTGGGCTGCCTGTTTGATAACCCCTCAGCACAGCTCCATGATGTCTCAAAAACAAAACCCCCCAGCCCAGTTCTCCATTGGTTTAAATCAATTCCCATTCACTGGGACCCACCCACCCTCCTGTCAGGGCATTGCTGCCATTCTTGTTCTTACATGCAGTTTAGTATCGGTGCCTCTGCTTCCCCTCCAAGGAAGGGAGAGATTTATAATATAAATAGATGGCTTTGCCTAATGTAGGCAGTTTAGAAGAGACTGATGGCCAATTTGGAAGACTGGACAGAGATACAAAGCCAGCGCTGCACCTAGCCAAAGCAGCACCTCTGCGGAGTTTTAGGCGACAGTCTTATGGATCAGCATAAGGCAAGAGAACTTTCACTTCCACTCATTCTTCAATAATAAATGATAATTACCGAAGCAGCAAATATTTGTGAAACATTTCTCAGCACTAGGCTCTATGCCTAAGCCCTCAATGGTTGACTTATTGTCTCATTGGAGGACAGCATCGAGGTGTAGGAGAGCAAACCTATAATCCCAGCACTCTAGGAGACTGAGACAGGAGGATCACAAGTTCGAGCCCAGCCTGGGTAACTAGTGACTAAGAGAGACTCTGATTTAAAGTAAAAAGGAGTGTGGGGCTGGGGATTTAACTCTGGTTCTACTGCCTGCCCTGGAGTTCGATCCCCAGTACCAAAAAAAAAAAAGTAAAAAAGGAGTAGGGAATGCAGCTCTGTGCAAAGGCCTTAGGTACAATCCTCAGTACCACAAAAGAATGAAAGGAATAGCAAGTGATCAGGGAGGATTTGAACTCAGACAGCAGAGGCAATAAGCTTAGCTGCAGCCCAGCTTCCAGAAGCCTCTGTGTGACATGTGGGTATGTGAGCACTCTCATAGTCACAGACAACCCTCCGAGTTTTCTCTCAGCTCTCAGGGAGCCTCCTGGCCATCCTGGGATACTCAAGCAGCAGGGAAATGAAGCCAGCTTTTATCAGTGTGGATGGAGTGGAGGCAAGAGGGTTTCCATCATTTAAGGAAGGTTCAGAGCTCAAGTTATTTTCACTCTCAGGTTTCCTTGACATCCTTCTGTCACTTCACTCCCCTTTACTGTTCTCATTTTTTGCTATCCTAAAGTTGAATGGGTCTCACTTGTACAATTTCGTTACAAAGCAGTCCTTAAAAGGAAACCCTGGGGTGGAAGG